AACGACGGCGTAAGTGAGGGGGGTGGAGCAAAAAAAAAAAAAGGATTGGGAGGCGAAGAGAGAGAGAGAAGATAGAGAGCTGCTGCTGGGCTGAGGCTGAGAGGCCTTGTTCTTTTTTGTCTTTGTTTTTTTTTTTTGGGGGGGGGGGGGGGGGGGGGGAGAAGAGAGACAGGATTTACTGCCATGTGGCGGCGGCGCACGCGAGGGAGGGGGGAAACCCAGTTGATTGTGGAGAGGAAGTGACAGTTGACAGCATCAGACGCAGCAGGTAATAAAGACAGTCAAGGGTCTCCTACTCGCTTTCCGAGGGCAACGTCTTTGGCGTGCTCCTATAGAAGAGAGGAAGGGGAGGAAGAAGAATAGGATAGAAAAAAAAACGAAGAGCAAAGAACAAGAAAATCAAAATATGATGGGGAAAAAAATAAGATAAACCCCGAAAAGAAGAAGGAAGGACAAGTCTCTTGGTAATGGTGATTCGCCCCCTCCCCTTCTACAATCAAGTTCGGGTTCTTCGACAAGATGGCTCACAGCTGCTGTTGGCCAAAGCTTTTCGTCTTATTTTTATTTTATTTTATTTCATTTTTATTTCATGTTCTTAATCCTCCTGTATCTGGGTTCTCACTCGCTACCCAGTCAGTCCCGCCGTTCACTGTGGAGAGAATGGCTCTCGGAGAGACGGCGGAGGGTTCGGGGTTCGAGAGCGATAACAAGTTCGATGATGTATTACTCCGAGTTGGAACAAGACTCGAAAAGTCATACACACACACTCCTTTACCTGTTCAGAGCCGCAGAAGATGATGCAGACTTGACTACGGAGCGCTAACCGATGACACTAGTAGTACGACGTAGCTACAGTCTACATCTCAGACTGCGAGTACGGACTACATGCTCGTACATATACGAGTACGATGCTAGCGATGATACCGCGGAGTATTACATAATATACCACCACCTGGCACTTCGTGCTCCTCCTAGGGCCTAGATCAAGTAGTACGAGATTATGGTGGCCTGTAGGTGGGGTAACGCCAGTCAAGTATACAGATTACCCCGGTACCGAGTACCGTAGTACCCGTTCAAAGCCACCTGTATCGATTACCAAGTCCAGTCCTTTTTTTTTTCTTTTTCTTTTTTTCATCTTCTATCGTCGTCATCAATACCAGCAGGTTCTGATGGTGGTGCACTTGAAAGCTTCAGTCCTCGTCAGTCCTCCTCCTCCCCCAACGAAACAGCTCGGTGAAGGTCATTCCAGCCTCGTACACGCAACGTACACGCAACGTACACGCAACGTACACGGTTCACGCTAATGCTATATAATCCGTACAATCAATCACATTCATTGCCGAGAGTCGAGACCAGGCCTTGCTCTCCCTCTCTCTGTTGCCAAAAGAAACGAGTTAATAATGACACATGTATACAACCACTCACTCGTATACTTTCAAGAGAAGAGAAAAGAAAAGAGAAAAAGGAAAGAAAAGAAAAGAAAGAAAAGAAAGAAAGGAAAAAAACAAAAAAGAGGGTTGTGTGTGTGTGTGTGGGGGGGGGGGAACCTGCCCATCCATCTCTGAATTCCCTCCGGGGGAGGGGGCATTGGAGGATTGGAGGCGCCAGTCCCAGTCGAAGCTACTGTAACCTGTACAGTGCATGCCGTAATACCATGTGGCTAAAATCAGGCTAAAAAGGGGACGAGAGGGAAAAAGAAAGGAAATACTCCTCCAGTACGGAAGCCGGCATGTAAAAGTGTCTCTTTTTTTCCAAGCGAGATTGTCAGTGGCATGGATATCTTGCCTGTAATCTGTACACACATGGGTATATGCTGCTAAAAATAAAGATAGAAATCAAATAGAATTGGAATTAAAATAAAATAAAATTATTACCCACCTAGATGAGGAGGTAGGTAATATCATTGCACGTCGCACAACATCATCCGAACAGATGCCACGCATCTACTTGTTGGATAGAGGGTAGACTCTGATGGTATGTGCAGGTATCAAGAAGAGGGGTGGAGCGAGACATCAAGAGGGGCAGAGACAGACACGGTGGAATGTCGAATCCTCGTCCTGCATCCTCGCACCAGTCTACACGAGACTAGCATCTCTTTCCGTTCCCTCGTGGGATAGGATCTTGCGAGTATTCGCCAACTGCCTGGCTACGCCGACGGGCATCTCTGATCCGTCTGTTGCGATGAGTATGCAGTGTGCGAATCACGACGTGGGGGTGGAGGTGTAGTAAGCACGTAAGATGGGGGGGGGATGTATGTAGGGCAGAACACATAGACAGACACACGCAGAGAGAGTGAGAGAGACAGGAGCAACGATAAGAGAGATCCGTATCCGTACAGCAGTCATTCATTCCCGAGCCGTAAACTTTGCCCATTAATACGACAACAAAGACAGGGGGGGTGTATGTGTATGCACAGAAACGAAGTACTAATCGTGCCTCATTGTGCTGAGAGAAAAGCCATATATATAAACCCGAAACCGAAACCCAACTCCCTTTCAGGCCCTCCCAGACGAACTAAAGAAAGAAGAAGAAAAAAATGAAGAGAGGGGAAAATGAAGAGGGGGAGAAGAAGAAGAAGAAGAAGAAGAAGAAGAAGAAGAAGAAGAAGAAGAAGAAGAAGAAGAAGAAGAAGAAGAAGAAGAAGAAGAAGAAGAAGA